CCCGGGGGGGGGGGGGGGGAACAAGATGGGGCTCGTGGAAAAACAAGATGGGGTTTGAGTCTGGCTACACATCCACAGATGCACACTTTTCAGAAGCAATCATTCCGTATTTGCCCATTCAGCCCTTGCTGTAAGGATCCTGCACACCACCTTCAAAAGGCGAGCATGGGAACTTAAGTTCATAACTCTGCTATTACATGCTAAAAATGATGATGGACTCCTTGACTCTGGTTTCACGGCTTATTATAACAATTTGCAATACACTCCACTGCTTGTTAACCTTTACTTGGTCACTTCAGTATGTGTGATCCTCTTAGGCTTAACACTGTCACAGCTCAGACACTTTGGTTACCTCCACCTCTGAAGAAGAGCTCTGTGAAGCTCAAAAGCTTGTACCTTCTACCAACAGAAGTTGGGCCAATAAAATATATTACTTCACCTGTCTTGTGCTTCTCACATGCAGACCTAAAACAGTGAGAACACTGCATACAAATCTCATTTTAAGGCAAACTGTCTGCTTTTTTTCTTTAATCTTACCACTATTTGTGAAAGCCCAATACAAACATTACAGGTGGAGCTGCATAAATCGTGGTGTTTAAATGTCCTGGTGTAAAATATTCTGAGCAAATGATAAAAATGTATAAAATAATGAATAGTAGCAAGACAGTGCTTCTATTCTTGTTTCTAAACACTAAAATAAGGAGAAATTCAATTAAATCAAAAGGTGGAAAACTAAAAAATAATGAAAGGAAATACTTTTTCATACACTACATAATTAGATTATGGAATTCCTTGTTATAGAACATTGCTAACACAAGAATTTGACAGAATTCACAGAAGGATTGGACACATATGACTAATAAAAATATCCAGAGTTATAATGGTTAATGACAACAAGAACATTGGGGAAACTACCTTATAACAGAGTTTAAACTAATTTCTGACTATTAAGTCAGGCGGGAAGCTTAGCCTGTATCTACCTTTGTAGGGTTTAACTTTTCCCTGTAGCTCTGCTGCAGGCCACTAGCAGAGGCAGGATCTTGGACTAGAAGGAGCAGAGATCTGCTCTCTCATGGCAATCTTTTTGCTCTGCTGACATAAACACAGATACAAATTAGGAGGTGGGGGGCACGTTCCCTGAGGCTGGGGAGCAAGTGGCATTAGTACCAGCAGTGCATGGCGGAGAGCCTTCCCTCTCCCCGGCATGCGGCTTGCTCAGCAGGGGCAGTGAAATGGAGCA